AGCCACAGGAAGGCCGGTCCTGACCCGTGGGGCCCTGCTCTGCGGTGACGGGAAAGCTAGATGTTTACCACCTGGCCTGGGCACATTCGAAAAAGCAAGAGTTAGAATAACATGCCCAGCAAGACCCCTTAAGAACCACGTTGCCTGTGGGCCCAGGGGGATTTGCCTGTGTGAGTAGAAGGAGGGCCGGGGGGCCCTGCAGGTGGACACGTGCGGGAACACCCTCCAGGCTGGCCTCCCAAGGCTGGGCCTCATCCCTGCCTCCCTGGTCCAGCCTCATGAACCTTCTAGCCACACAGGGTGTTATCGCCTCCTCAGATTTGCAGGGATCTGTGCCCCCTGCAGGATGAGACTGGCCCGGGAGGCTCACGTGGCCTGCCAGGTCTGTGGCTCCCTCCGCTCCACTCCACGGGCTTGGGCCATCCCTGGCCCTCCGAGAGGCCTGTTCTCACCCACCACGACTTCCCGGCAAGTGTCCCCTCACCTGCCCTGCCTCTGCCTCCTGTGCCCGCCCAACTCCCAGGTGCTTCAGGACCCCAGAAGCCCCATCTCCCCAACACAGTGGTGACTGATAGGACAGGATCCCATGACCTCCGCAGCAGGTGGAGTGACGATTTGGGCTGACTGGGCCACCCAGGACTGGCAACCTTCATGGACTGTGGGTGGTGACCGGAGCAGACGAGGAACTGCCTAGCTGGCTTGCACCAGTGACAACCTTACCCTTTGAGGCTCATTCTGGTGCATCACATGTCCCAGGAGAGAGGACAGAAAGCCCCGCAGGGTGGCCAGTGAGATGGGGTAGGGACGGACAGCAGCTGCTCCGGGGGGTCGCAGGCGTGGATGGAGGGCGCACTGTGGCAGGGCTGACAGGGGAGGAAAGTGGGCTTGTGGGGGAACAGCTGGGTGTGTGGGTCACAGGTGGGGTGGGGAGTAGGGATGGGGGTCACTTCACGGACAGGGCGGTGATGCCAGTGACGCTGGCAAGCCAAACGTAGCCTCGGGCTCTCAGCCCTGTGTTGTCTGGGGCAGGGCTTCTCCCTCACACTGCGGCCTGTGGGTTGTGCCACATGCTGGCCTCCGCTCGCCATGGGCCAGCAGCACCTGCCCCGCAGCGACAGCCCAGGTGGCGTGGGTCAAAGTCATCCCGGTGAGCGCCCTGGTGCAGACCAAGCTGAGTCCCCAGGTAGCAACTGCGTCCAAGCTGTGTGCCCTGAAGGGTCTGAGTCAGCTGGCCAGGCCACTGGTAGTGGTTGGTTCTGGGCGTTAGTCTCTGCCTTCCTGATGCCCGCCTGAGACAGCGATAGGGACAAACACAGCACTGAGTGGGCGAATGAATGGATGAAAGAATGAATGGATGGATGGATGAATGAACCGACCCACTCGGGAACAAGTGACTGAGGCTCTCCATTGTGGACGCTCTCCAGGTCTGTTTGCTGGTCTTCACCACAGATGCTCGTCTGAGCCCTGGGGCCGAATGCACTGTCTAACTTTGGAAAACCCCTTCAAAAAAGTCTAGAAAAAGAGCAGGTGTGCAGCTTGAGGGAGGAAATAGAAACAGTGGTGCCACATTAATGCTCGGGCAGCCACCTGCAGACAGCTGTGAAACAGGACCCTCGCTGCACGAATGAGGGCCGAGTCAGCGCAGCTGGTCCCCCTGTGGCCCCGTGCACCCTGCTGGGCCTCAGGTGCAGGCACTGTAGAGACTTTGTCCCCGGCTTCAGGGGGCATCTGTGTAGTAGATGGGGACAACTAGGTCTGCAGCTGGGAGGTGGGTGGGGAGGGGCAGGACAGGGCGAAGCTCAGCCGAAGGCACAAGTCACTGCCAGGAGGCCCACAGTGTGATCCTGAGCTCAGCCTCCCACCCACGCCCTCTAGAATGACTATTATTACCTTTGTTATTGTTGTCAGTGCCATTACCAATTTCAGCAGCTTGGGGCTGGGGAGCTGGCAGTTGAGCGTGGGGAGAGAGAAAGAGCGGTGGGAGGCAGGAGGCGAGGCAGGTCTGGTGGCCGTGTTGGGGCCCAGCTGCAGTCTGCTCAGACCTCCAGCTGCCTGGCGAGGGGCTGGACAGGTGCAGCTGCCACAGCCATCAGGCCCACAGCCAGGGCGCCAGCTATGATTTCCCCTGCACTATCACTGATGAGCTTCCCAGAGATACAGGGAACTGTCCCACCACGTTCCAGCAGGGGACACAGGCTGGCCATCGGCCCTGCATCACCCTGCAATGGAGCTCCTGGAGTGGGCCTGAGGGTCTCCTGCCTGTGACCCCACCAGGTAGGCTGCCGCATCAGGAAGTGCCCAGTCTCCGCCACCGGCACCCCAGATGAACTGGTCCCCTGCCATTTCCTGAGGCTCCCGTGTGTGCTTCCTCCTGGGGGCCCACATCCGGGGCCTCACCAGACCTGAACCACCTTGCTTGCAGGGGTCACTTCCTTCTGGTTTCAGGCCGGCGTGTTCTCGGGGTTCAACCATGTCCCCAAAAGCACTGTGACTTATATGTTTTCTTAAATCATGAGTAAATAACAGCTGCTCTGAGCACTAGGATCAGCCACCAGGAGACCGGCTCTGCATCCAGATGTTTCCATTTCACAATCCCTAAACTATTCATGCTAAAAGATAATCTTGACACAGGAGAAAATTGGGACTCACACAGGCAGAAAATGAGCGCATGTTACCAGTGTCACTTAACTCTTTTTCAGTGAGGGCCCAGTGAGGTGTCCCAGCCAGTTTGAAGGAGCAGCAAAGAGGGCACAGTCACACCAGTAAAGGGGTGAGGACTCGGGTTCACAAACAGTGGGAGCTGGCTTCCTGGGGTGGGGGTGAGAACCCCCCCGGGCAGGTCTTATCTGCAGGTTCTAGTCCCTTCCTGCCGTCACAAAGCACCACAGAGGGACAGGGTAGCTTGAAATAAGAGGGCTGGTTCCCTCTGGAGGCGCCGAGGGAGGGTCCTTCCTGCCTCTTCCCCGAGCCCCGTGCTGCCAGCCACGAGCTCCACCTCCACGTGGCCTTTTCCTCTGCACCACGTGGCTCAACTCTCCTTTCCTTTTTCTTCTAAGCACAGAAGTAACTGGAGGTCAGGCCCACCCTACACCCAGGGTGATGTCATGCCACGATTCTTAGATGAATGACATCTGCAAAGACAGCTTCCAAAGGAGGTCACGTCCATCCATAGGAGGGGTGAAGGCATGGACGTGTCTCCTTGGGGGCCTCTCTCCAGCCAGCTGTCTGCCAACACGGGCCGTCTGCGCTGCTGTCCACCACCTGTAACCTATGGAGCCTGAGCATGCTCAAAGGCCGCCGCTCCCACGAGACACACCCTCTCTGGCATCTTCAGACCCTTGTTGCTGATTCCAAATTCCTTACACTCAGGGCCTCAGAATCGCTTCCAGGCTCCAGGACCACAGCTGTGTCCTTCACACCCACTGGGCACCGGGGGCTGCCAGCACAGGACAGGGGACCTGGGACACTGTGCAGTGAACAGGGGTTAGGCGTTGTGGGACCCCAAGGAGGTGTCTGCAGCACCCACAGGCTCAGGAGGCTGGGATGTGGGCGGCCCTGCTGGGTGGGGTGGGACCGAGACCTCGGGAAGGAGCCATGCTGAGAACCCTGGCCTTTCCCTGTGGTTACTCCCTGTCCCTCCAGCCTTCACCCTCCTCCCTCTGCCCTCAACACCTAAGACCCCAGGCGTCACTCCCACCTGGAAAGTCCAAACCACCACCAGGAAGCCCAGATCTTCTGCCCTGTCCTCTGCTCCGCCTGCAGGACCTTCGCCTGCAGAGGGTCTGCCGGCCTCATCTGTCCTCTCACATCGCCCCTCCCCGGGTGACTGCGGGCACAGCCTCTGTCCTCTGCTCCGAGAGGCCCCCGCCCCACTCTTGTCTCTTTCACACCCACAGGCTCTGCAGCTGCCTCGGGCCTCCAGCTCTGCACACGACCCTGTCCCCTCCGCCCTGCATCTCCAGCGCCAGAACCATGTCTGCCCACATCCACCTCCATCCACACCAGCGGTGCTCAGCAAAGAACCACCACTAATGGATGAGGGAGGAGCCCTCACTCCTCCTGCCTGGAGAGAAGAGGCTCCCTCCTTGCCCCTGCATCCCAAGTCCATCTCAAGTGCAGTCTGCTAGCCTCGTTCCCTTTCTGGGTTGGCACTGGGGCCCGGGATGTCTGGTTCCCCTCCGCCTGGGTCAGCAAGGTCTGGGGAGAAAAGCATGTTTACAGGGAGTGAGGGAACAGGGCTGGGAGGAAGGAGCCAGGTGGGGTGGAGCAGGGCCCTGGGAAGGGACCCCAAGAGAGTGCAGGTTGGGGATGCCCTGACTTTTGGGGTTGGCTGTGATGTAGCAAGTGCACAGGACTTGCACCTCCTGCTCCTGGGCACCTTCCACCCTGGAGGGGCTCGGGAGCCACAGTCCCACCTGTTACACATGCTACTCTGTGGGCTGAGGCGTGTGCCAGGCCCCAGGGCAGGACACCAGGCCTCTCCCGTGCTAACAGCAGGGAGCACACGTGGCCTGAGGCCGACAGCTGGGGACACAGAGGGCAGCACCCTGGGTTCCAGCCTCTGCCTGGGGGCCACCTCGCCCCACCTGTGCCACCTGCCTGCTATGGAGGCCGTCTCCAGAACCTCCTCTGTGGTCAGGAAGGGCGGGGAGCTCCCACAGAAGCCCCATCAGCGCCTCTGTGCTCAGCAGTCTCCCCAGGACCGTGGACAGAAGTGGACTGGGCTCGCTGAGGAAATTCCAGGGATTTTTCAGGCCAATGAACATTTCTCTTCCCCAAACTCGTGCAGAGAACTCAGAAAGCCCCCAAGACTGGGGCCACCAAATTTATGTTTCGTGACGCACATTCCAAGTTTGTACTCTGACCATGAGTGATGGGGTCAAGTCCCCACGGCCATGGCTCCTGGCAGAGCAAACAGAAGCCAGGCCACAGGGCAAGGTTCACCAGCCCTCACGGAAGCTCTGCTTCCCACACTCGCCCGGCTGGGCTATGGCCTGCCCCCTGCGAGGCCTCACTGAGCGCCTGGTGCCCACTCCCTGCTGGCTCCAGACCAAGACGCAGCCCGTCCTCAGGTGGCGTCTAGCCTGCTCTCCCTCTGGGGAGCCCCTCACATGGCAGAGTCTCTGAAAGAAAGCAGGGCCCCCAAATCAGAAGGGAAGAGTCCTCTGGTGCATAGTAAGCACCCGCTCGCTCGCTGGAGATAACATGCAGGGACCTGCTGTTTTGACAGTGGGAGGTCAGGGAGAAAGGAAGAGGAAGGAGCTCGAGAGTGCAGGCCAGAGGCACACAGCAGACTGTACTCACAGCCCAAGGAGCCAGGCCACCGCACAGGTAGAGAGGGGAGGGTGGGGAGGGTCCACCCTGCACCCTCACACTTGGGGCAGGGAGGAGGCAGTCAGCAAAGGTCAGCGCAGGGCACGGCGGGCACCAAGCGGCACTGAGATGGCGACCGCTTCTCAACAAAAACGCATTTGCATGAAGCTGTCCTGGCTCTGCGGGGGAGAGGGGCTGCTGGGGTGTGTCCCAGCTTAGGGTGTATTCTGCAAGTGTTTGCTCTTTCTTCTCCCTTGGCGTTTCCTAAATTTATAACACCCCAACTTGTTCGGGCCTCCTGTGATGTGCGGAAGTTTTGTCCAGCTTGGCTAAAGTGGAAAGGGGACCCGGTGGACGAGGGACACTGCAGGTAGGCTCTGTCCCCCGCCCCCTGCCAGGGAGCTTCCCTCCCACCGCCCTGCTCTGCCAGGTACCACCACGGGCTGTGTGGGTGTGGGGCGGGTGGCTGTCTCAGGTGCTGACGGAACACATATGGCCAAGTCCGTCTTCATCTGGAACTCAGGGGTCCCTGTGCGGGGTCAGTAAGTCCCAGCTGGATGCTGTCATCTCCTCTTTGAAGAGATCAGACAACCTAGGGTCACTTGTGACGTCAAGCAGAGAGACCAAGATAAAGAGGAAAACAAAGACCCTGAAGGAAATAGCGAAGTGGGGGGACGGGAGGGAGCTCCCCACCCCAGTCACCTCCCCTGAGGACACGGCTTTACACTCAGCACCACCGATGTCCTCTGGTGGGGCCATCGGCACCCAGGATGGTGTCCGGTAGCATCCCTGGCCCCGACCGGCTGGGTGCCAGTGGCCTCCTCACCCCAGCTGCCACAACCAAGTACGTCTCCAGGTCTTGCCAAGGGTCCCCTGGCCTGGGGGCAAAGTCACCTGGTGGAAAACCACCATTTTAGAGCCAATACTCACTCACCTGTCAGTGTCGAATGCCAAAGACGGAGGCAGAGGCAAGTGGTTCAAAATCTGGAACAGATGGTGGAAGCCGGTGGGACCGTACAGCCCACCCACCACTGTACAGAGCTGTCGGCACCGCCAAACCTCGGCTCTCACACGTCTCCCATCTCCGACGACTCCGTTCTCTCCCAAGCTGTTCTTGGGGAAAATGTCTCGGGTGCCGAACAAAACTTCGGTTCTCGGCCCGACAACCCTTCCGTGCTGACACCTGCGTGTTAGCTCGTGTGTCTCTCAGGCGGCAGACAAAGGAGGGGTGTGCACGTGTGAGCCTGTTTGTGCACAACTCGCCTCGAGAGCAGTCTTCGGGATGAATGATTGAACGCTCGCTGCTAACACACGGGGGAGGCCTGCTCAGTAAGTGCGCAGACCCCAGGGAAGCTGGACACCTTCCCTGCCGGTCCCGCTTTACAGAACCCAAGCTCCGGTCTGCGTGGAACGCTCGTGGGCTGGGTGCGCTTCCAAAGAGTCCCTCTGTGTTAATGCAGAGGCTGCTTCTTAAATCTTATCCCAGAAGTCGGATCTTTCTTGAATTTATTTTTAGAGTGTTTTCTCTTTTGGTTCTTTGAGGGAAAACTTGTCCAATGTTTTGTGAACTGGCATTATGAGTAGAATGGCGGTTACCAGGAGCTGCAGGGGGTGGGGGAGGGTGCAGGGAGAGGTTGGTCAGGGTGCAGACGTGCATCACGTCTCGTGCAGAGTTTCCTGGTGAAACATCAAACCACCCAGGTGAGTCACAGCCCAGATTTGGCGTCCTGCCACTTCTGCCTTTTCCCAAAACAAAAATCGCCTTTGAAAGGGAAGAGATTTCAGATCATCGATGAGATTCAGGAAAATACAATGGGACAGCTGATGGTGACTGGAAGAACTGTGTGAGGTCCCAAGGTGTCTACTTTGAAGGGAACCAAGGTGTCATTGTCCTGTGTACCATGTTTCTTGTATTTTGTATCTTCTTCAGTAAATGTCTCTAAGTTTCATAGTGCATGGCCGGTTATCTTCTGGACAGACCTCGTATGTGACAGGACGTGGTGAGAGGTGAGATTCTGCACCACACACGTGTATCCAATCAATACCCTCTACACAGTGTGAACTCACACAGTGTTATGTGTCCATTAACCCAATAAATCTGGGGAAAAATTAAAAGTCACAATATGAAAAAAAATGACCTTGAATACCTCAGACCAAAAAAAGGTGCTGAAGCCATCTCTGTGACAAGCTGGCCAGGGACACACAGTGAGGACTGATTTCCGTTTGGCGAACGAGACTCCCGGCCATAGAAGCGGGGGTCCGGGTGCGTCTGGCGGAGACGCCTCTTGGGGAGGAAGATGGTCGGTGACGCTGGCGCAGCAAACCCAGCACAGACAAGTCGAGACGAGCCCCATGGGCTGAGGCTCCTTGGTCTAGGGTGAGGAGAGGGCCTCCGCATCTCATTGCAACCACTCAGAGATTGCTCCCCGTCCCACCAGGAGGCCAGGTGGCCCCTGAGGGGCCCAGAAGGGCACCACACAAAACATCGGACCTGGGCGGTGAACGTTTATCTTGACAGCCTGCCTGAGACTTTCCCATTTGCTTTGCAGGCCATGGCGGATCAATTGTGTTTTTCTTGTACAAAGCAGCAGGAATGCTAACAGTTGAATCTTGTGTTACCACAAAAAACAGCATTCCTGGGGAACTTCATATTCTGCAGGGGGAGGGGGGAGGAGGAGAAAAACTCCACCCCACCCCCACAATCTCAGTTCTTGTGCTGATTAAGTCGCTCTCAGCTTTGCAAAGGCACTGGCTGCTTTGGGGAGCACCTTTGAAGCTGGGGAGCTTCCTCAAGGTGTCAAGGGCTCCCCATCAGCTTCTCGTGGCAAAGTTCCCTGCATCGTGGTGGCTACGTTTTCTGGGGACTGCAGGAACCCCAGCGATGTGGAGACAGAAGGGAACAAATGAGGAGCTCCCTCCCCCATCCTCCCTGCCCCAGCTCATGCAAAATGCCTTCCCGGCACACATCCCAAGGTCTCATCACCCCACTGCAGGAGCAGCTGGCTGGAGCCCAGGGTTCTCAGACACTGGGAACACAGCTGCTGGGCTCGGATGGTGTGGCTGCCAGCAAGAGCGTGGTGTCGCAACACCCTTAATGATGCAACACAAACAAAAGTCATTGTAGGTGGCCGGATGGATAAATGCCAAGATCAAGTCCACTCCATTTGTTAAGATGTGCTGGCAGCTTTTTTAGTTTATTAGGATATGACAAGCAATAATTACTTTTTGCCTTATTTGGCTCTTCTTAAATGCGGTCTTTTAATGTGAGTTTTTGTAACTACTAAGGCATATTTTATGGAACTTTCATAATACTGTGTGTATTCATTTCCTATAGCTGCTAGTATAAATCAGCCCAATTTGGTGGCTTAAAACAATCCAAATTTATTATCATGGAATTCCGCAGGTCAGAAAGGCGCAGTCAGGAAGAGGAAGGGAGAGAGAAGGGAGAGGAAGGGAGAGAGAGAGAAACAATTGTCAATTGGTTGCCTCCCGTACATGCCCTGACCAGGAATCGAACCCGCAACCTTTTGGTGTACAAGACAACACCCCAACCGACTGACCCACCCTAGCAGGGTTTTTTCTTTTTGTTTAAACTAAGTGCAGTTATTCTTTAATAACATTTCCTGGATTAGGAAAAAAGAGTGCTATGTCCCTGTCCCCCCCGCCCCGATGTTGGCCATAGCTGGAGGTGCACTTGTATTTAACACACATGACACAGGTGTTTGTGCGGTGGAAAGGCTCTACCAAGGGCCAGGCGACCCTGGGGGACCAGGGGGCCAGCCTCTAGGCCGTGGCCTTCAAACTGGGGGCACAGAAGTACCAAACACTTTTGAGGGGCACAGATACGGGGCCGGATGGCAGAACTCCAACATCCAGGTGCTTTTTTCTGAAGGAGACTTTCAGAGGGGCCGCTGGTCCCTGCTCTAGGGTTTGTTCTGGCCCCTGTGGTCAGAGACCCAGACTTGGGTGTTGTGGGGAGGACCCGGGGTCACAGCACAGACAGCAAGGCCCAAACTCCCCCTCTGCAGACACAGACCCCACCTCCTCCAAGGCCTCTACACCCCTCCTGAGGGCATGACCTGGCCAGGAAAGCCAAAGGGTTCGGGCCAGGGGCTCCAATGTCCACGAGTGTGGGTGGACTGATTTCCTGCATGGCCACAGTCTCACTCTGTCCCTGGACAAGAATCACACTCCACACACTCTGCCCACAAGGTGAAGGTGCGCTCTTGCCCGGGGCCCTGGAGCAGCAAGCGTGAGCCACAGTGGCCTCTGCAGTCCCCTCAGCACGCGGGAAGTTCGACACCGTGGTTGATGGAGTCAGCCGTGTCCACCTGCTTTACACTCACGTCTCATGCGATTCCTCCCCAAAGCTGGACGTCAGAGCTGAGTTCCCTCTAGTGTCCTTGCACACACACACACTGTGGTGCACACACAGGCACAGAGGCCGCACACACAGTTCACCAGGAACTCCAGCGGCATGGCTCCCCTCTTTAGCAAATGGCTCATTCTTTCACCCTTGTGTCTGCTGCATCGCTAAGGTGATGTGGTCAGGATGAAGTGCTGACTTGGCTTGCATTGAGCTTCCTCCCGAGTGCATGAGTTACGTGGGGTGGACACCGCTCCCATCCCAGCTGTTGCTGTATTCGGATAGCACATTCTCCATGACTGACATCCCAGCAGCTTCTGGAATCATCTCTGAAGTTCATATTAGCCCATGTCCATGAATCAACAAATGAAACCTGGCTGTTTCTCAGACAGAAAATTCCATTTGTCACTTGGTGGGACAAAGAGGACAGTGACAGGCAGATGTTTTCTACTTGTGGGGCACAAAATCTGCAGCTCTGGGTTTTTGACAAAAATATATTTGAGGCACATAAGAGGCAAAAATGCCAAGCAGAGAAATGAACCAGGCTTTAAAGAAATACTCCCACCCTTTTATGACTAGTCAGGGTTAAACTTAGAGCCTCTCTGAAGTGTAAGATTAACCAGGAACCAACAGCCACCTCCTAGGTGTCAGCAGAGCCTTGGCTGGCTGCCCAGCAGTTAGATGCTCAGGTACATGGCTCCCGAAGCTGCCGCAACTCAGGAAATCCCCGGCACAGGCAGGGAGGGGTCTTGCTGAGCTGACACCTGGTGGCACCTTGTAGCCTGTTGGTCCCGTGACTGTGGGCACTGACCTAGAAAAGAATTCATAGGCTTAATTTAAAATTTTTCAACCTCTGCTGCTACAAAATGCTCCCCCCCCCTGCAGAAATGAAGGAGAAAACAGGATTGCCCCTGACCTCTAGATTGCTGAAGGCTCGTCTCTGGAAATGTGACTTGCGGTGAAAAAATGGGCCTCAACCCCTCACAGGGAGTCACCTTCCCAGTAAGACCTGGCTCTTACATGTGGTGATTACTTACCCAAGTGACAACAAGTTGGTTGTTTTCATCGAATGCACGATTACTATTATAATGCTCACAACCCAGAAAAGAATTTTAGCATCTAATGCCTAGGAGTCATGGTCAGTGAAAGTGACTTTCATTTTCCATTGATTTGCATATTTAGCTGCCAAGAAGTAAGAAGGAGTTCAAGAAAAGACTGTTGCACATAAAAATGTGCTAGAAGAAGCTCACTAGGAGGACATGACTGCAAAGGCATGGCCTACTCTCATGCCCACCCAAGGGACCCATGTGTGCTGGGTGTCACCCCATCACTGACAGGGACAAGGACGATGGTGGGCAGACCCCTCATCCTCAAGGAGCATCCAGCCCAGCAAAGGAGGGGAAAGGAGCGCCTGGCATCTGGATGGAGCTGAGGAGCTGCCGGATTGGAGAGAGCTGAGAGTTGGCTGCTCACCAAGTCCACACGCAGGCACATGCAGCCACAGACACCTTCACACATGTGAGTACCAGGGATAAGCATGGCCTGGGTCAATGCACAGAGAGGGGTTCACAGGCCACCTTGGTGGGGAGCGCACAAGACAGGTGCCAAGGCCAACAAGTCCTCTCTCTCAGATGGTGACCATGGTGAGGGGACAGGACCCTGGAGACAGTTGGGAGGAGGTGGGTGGGAGGGGCAACAGGGCAGCCTGAGGACTGCTGAGATCGGTGACTCCACAATGACAATGACCCTAGAACTCCCACATCGTCCACTTTCACGAGGCCTCTGACACACTAGGACCCGGGCAGCAGCAGCCCCCAGAGAATGTTCACATTGTCGAGTTTCTGTCCTTGTGAACTTTCATTGTTTTTAGCTGAGATTCATCTTCTGATTTAAGTATATTCCTCACAAATCCAAGCCAAGTTTAAACAAATGGCCTTGATTAAACGTTCACTCTGTCCCAGCTCCACAGCCTGCAGGAATGCAGCCAGACTTCAAGCACAACCGGAGTGCAGGGAAATCTCCAGCACGACAGCATGGCGAACTCTTCCTGAGGGAGCCCCCAACGTGTCCCCACACGGAAGAACGAAGCTGGAACCTCACCTCACGCCGCATCTAAACATTAACTCGAGGTATCCCCAAGTCCTAAGTAGGAGCTAAGACTGCAAAGCTCTCAAATGAAAACAGAGGGGAAAAGCTTTGTGACTTTGGATTGGGCAATGATTTCTTGGATTTGACACCAAAAGCACAAGCAACAAAAGAGAACAACAAATAAACTAGATCACATCAAAATTAAAAACTCTTGTGCACCAAAGGATACAATCATCAGCAGGAAAAGGCAGCCCACAGAATAAGAGAAAATATCCACAAGGCATATACCTGATAAAGGACTAGTATGCAGAATACATAAAGAACTCCTAAAATTCAACAAAAACAACACCCCCCACACCCACCCACCAAACAACCCTGATTTAAAGACAGGCAAAAAGCCCTGACCATTGTGGCTCAGCTGGTGGAGTTTCATCACACAAAGCGAAAATGCCTGGGCTGTGAGCCTGGTCCCCAGCTGGGATGCGTGCAAGAGGCAACTGATCAATGTTTCTCTCCCTCTTTTTTGTCCTCCTTCCCCTTCTCTCTAAACATAAATAAAAATGGGCAAAGAACTTCAGCACACATGTCTGCAAAGAAGATATAAAAACTGGCAATAAGCAGATGAAAAGATGCTCAACATCACTAATCATTAGGGAAATGCAGATCAAAGCCATGATGAGATAGAACATCATACCCACTAGGACGGCTCATACTGAAGCAACAATAACAAGCAAAGCAAAGCAAAAACAAAACAAAACAAAACAAAACCAGAGAGTGTTGGCAAGGAGACACAAGACCCGGAACCCTTAAGCACTGTGGGCAGGAATGTGAGATGGGGTGGCCATGGTGGAAAACAGTGTGATGGTTCTTCATAACTTCAACACAGACCTGCCATGTGACCCAGCAATCTCAACTCTGGGTCTGCACCCCAAAGAGGTGCAAGCAGTGACTTGGCTCTTTGCACACCCACGTTCACAGTGGCGTTATTCACAGCCAAGAAGTGGAAGGAAACAACCCAAATATCCATCAAAAGATGACGGGATAAGTAAAACGTGGTCCACCCATACAGCGAGACATTATTCCACCTTAAAGTGGAGGAACGTTCTGGAAGCACATTCTGCCACAACACAGGTGAACCTTGGGGCTGTGATGCCTAGTGAAACAAGCCAAACATAAAAAGACAAGTACCACATGATTCCACTCAGAAGAGGTGACATTTATAGAGACAAAAAGTGGATGATGGTTGCCAGGGGCCAAGGCGAAGGGAAATTATTTGATGCGGAGAGTTTCAGTTTGGGAGGATGAGAAAGTTCCAGAGACAAGCAGTGGTGAGGGCTGCATAACATTGTGAATGTGCTTAATCCCACTGGGCTGTGCCCTTAGATGCGGTTAAAATGGTGAATCACCTATTATACATATTTTACCACAATTCTAAAAATTAAGTACCTGTGGGAGTAGTGAGGGGTAAGTGCAGACAACTGTCATTGAACAACAATAAAATAATTAAAAAATTAAGTACCTACACATAACTACATATACATTTTAAAGCATTAAGCTTTATAGCTCATTCAATTCTTTATAGCCATATCGAAGTCAGTGTTAAGCTCTGCAGCACTGAAACAAAAAACCGGAAATAACGCACTATGTCACCTTCTTTGCATTAGTTATCTTTAAAGGGAAGGTTAGGAATGACCTCAACTTTTATTTCTGCTACAGTTGTGATTTTAAGCTGAGAGATATTAAATAATTTAAGTTTGAAAAAGAGTATTAGAATGTGTAAGTGGACTTGATCTGTTATAAGCTTAACTTGTTTGATAAATGAGAGTAATTTAAGTGTTTGAGACGTTTGGTTTGTGTTGTCAATACCTTGCCAAGTACCTGAAATGCTGAAAAAAAATGGATACAATACAGTGTCGTTGAACTTAAAACACTACAGGAGCTTACCTTTAATTAAAAGCAGATCAACAGCTTCCAGTCAAGATGGAGGTGTAAGTAGACACAGCTCACCTCATAGCACAACCATAAGAAGGAACACAGCTAACTTATAAAAGAAGAACACGTAGAACGGTATGGAAGTCCAACAACCAAGGATTTAAAGAAGCCAGATTCGTCCAGCTGTGTAGGAGGAGATGGGGAGTTATCGCAGAGAGGGCTCAGTATGGTGCAGTGAGCTGGGGGCAGAGAGGCAGCGAGATGGTGCAATGGGTAGACCCACACTCACGTGTGGTGGATAAATATCAGGGGGACACCTTGTGAGCGAGCGAGCCCAGCCCCAGGCCAGACCACACAGCCCAGGGCTCCAGTGCTGAGAAAAATGAAGCCTCATCATTTCTGGCTGTAAGCCCATTGGGGGTTGGGGCCACAGAGGCAACTGCCAGAACATATGCAAAGCTACCCACCCTGGGAACTACAAGCAAGACAGCAGCTGAGGGGCACCAGTCGCACACAGGAAGTGGGTGAAGTGACTGGAGATGGGGCAAGGACTGGGCAAGTGCCCAGCAGTCAGCCAGCAGCAGCATTCTCCCCTCTTAACTCCGCCCCCACACACAGAGCTTTGGTTGCCTTGCCCTGGCAAGAACCCAAGGCTCCACCCCACATGACTTCACAGGTGCACTAAAACAGAATCGAAGGGTTCTACCTAGTACCCAGACAGAGGAAGGCTGCCAAAATTAGGAGACAAACAAATATGGCCCAAATAAAGGAACAGAACAGAACCGCAGAAAAAGAACTAAGCAATGTGGAAATAGCCAACCTATCAGATGCAGAGTTCAAATCACCAGCGGTCAGAATGCTCACAGATCTCACTGAGCACAGCAAACGCATAAGGAAAAAAAACGAAGGCTCTGGCAAAGGGAATAAAGTAAAACCCACAGGAAACCAACCATGAAGAGAAGGAAGCTGAGATTCAACTCACTGATTTGGAACATAAGCAAGAAATAGACATTCAACTAGAACAAAATGAAGAAACAAGAATTCAAAAAAAACAAGGAGAGTTTGAGAAGACTCTGGGACATTGCCAAACATTCCAACATCCGAATCATAGGGATGCCAGAAGAAGAAGAGGAAGAGCAAGAAACTGAAAACTTACTTCAAAAAATAATGAAATAAAACTTCCCTAAGTTTGTAAAAGAAATAGACATACAAGTCCAGGAAGCACAGACAGTCTCGAACAAGTTGGACCCAAAGAGGCAACACCAAGACTCATCATGATTAAAATGTCAAAGATTAAAGATAAAGAGAGAATCTTAAAAGCAGCAAAACAAAAGGAGAGAGTTACCTACAAAGGAGTTCCCATAAGGCTGTCAGCTGATTTCTCAAAAGAGACCTTATAGGCAAGAAGGGGCTGGAAAGAAGTATTTGAAGTCATGAAAGGCAAGGACCTACATCCAAGATTGCTCTATCCAGCCAAGCTTTCATTTAGAATGGAAGGCAGATAAAGTGCTTCCCAGATATGGTCAAGTTAAAGGAGGTCTTCATCACCACACCATTATTATACGAAATGTTAAAGGGGCTTATTTAGGAAAAAGAAGAAGATTGAAACTATAAACATTAAAATTACAACAAACTATTTCTGGCCAAGATGGAGGCGTAGGTGGAAACACTGTGCCTCCTTAAACAACCAAGTTTAAAGACAACAAAGTTTTAGTAACAAAAACGCAACCAAAACACAGAAAATTGAACTGTATAAAAGTCCGACAACAACGAACCATTCAGCCAGACTGGTAAGAGGGGTGGAGTCAGCGGCTGGCAGGAAAAGGTGGCCAGACCGACCCAGCCACGCAGGCGGCATTTGGCAGATCCCAGACAAGGGGTGGCAACGGGCAAACTCAGTGAGGGGGCAAGGTGGCTGGCTGACCATGGTCACACATTCCCACGCACAGATAAACTGGGCAGAGGAGCAAGCAGTGAGACAGACAGCTCAACCCAGGGCCCCAAGGCGGGGAAATAAAGCCTAAAAGCACCAATTGGAAAGACTTTCAGGGTCAAGGTGCTGGGAGAAGCTCCCAGGCTCACAGAGTTCTCTGGAGAGACCCACAGGGTCCTGGAGGGTGCACAGGCCCACACACCCAGGAACCAGCACCAGAAGGGCCCAATTTGCTTGCAGGAAGCAGCAGAGGGGACCAAAATCCAAGAGAGAGCAGAACAAACACCATTGCCCCTCTCTGACCCCACTCGCACATACAGCATCACAACCCAGCAACTGGGTCACCCAGCCCTGGTAAACACCTAAGGCTCCGCACCTCATACATAACAGGCGTGAACAAACCAAAATATTATGGCTCAAGAAGAACAGCTCAAAGCCCCAGAGCCAATACTTCTAAGTGACCAAGAGATAGCCAACCTATCACATGCATAGTTCAAAACACTGGTGATCAGGATGCTCACAGAACTGGTTGATTTTAGTCACAAATTAGAGGAACAAATGAAGGCTAAACTAAGGAGAATGCACAGGAAACCAATAGTGATGGAAAAAAACTGAGACTCAAATCAACGGAGTGGATCAGAAGGAAGAAAAAAATGACCAAACAGAAAAGAATGAAGAAGCAAGAATTCAAAAAAAAATGAGGAGAGGCTTAGGAACCTCCAGGACATCTTTAAACATTCCAACATCCAAATTATAGGAATACCAGAAGGGGAAGAGGAAGAGCAAGAAATTGAAAACTTATTTGAACAAATAATAAAGCAGAACTTCCCCAAGCTGGCAAAGGAAATAGACTTCCAGGAAATCCAGGAAGCTCAGAGAGTCCCAAAGAAGTTGGACCCAAGAAGGAACACACCAAGGCACATCTTAATACATTAGCCAAGATTAAAATGAAGGGGAGAATCCTAGAAGCAGCAAGAGATAAGGGGACAGTCACCTACAAAGGAGTTCCCATCAGACTGTCAGCTGATTTCTCAGAAGAGACCTTACAGGCAAGAAGGGGCTGGAAAGAAGTATTCCAACTCATGAAATTCAAAGACCTACATCCAAGATTGCTTTATCCAGCAAAGCTTTCATTTAGAATGGAAGGGCAGATAAAGTGCTTCTCAGATAAGGTCAAATTCAAGGAATTCATCACCAAGCCCTTATTATATAAAATGTTAAAGGGACTTACCTAAGAAGAAGAAGATATGAACAGTGAAAGGACAGCAAACTCACAGTTATTAAGAACCACACCTAAAATAAAAGCAAACTAAGAGGACAGCTAAATCAGGAAGAGAACCATAGAAATGAAGATCACATGGAGGGTTAGCAACACAGGAGTGGGAAAAGGAGAAGGGGGAAGAAGGTACAGAAAATAAGTAGTATAGATGGTAGGTAGAAAATAGGGGGGAGGGCAAGAATAGTATGGGAAATATAGAGTCTAAAGAACTTGAGACACATGGTCATAAACTAAAGGGGGGGAATGGTGGGGGAGAGGGTGTGCAGGGTGGAGGGGAATGAAGGGGGGAAATAAAACAACTGTAATGGCATAATTAATAAGATATATATATATATTTAAATATTTTATTTATTTATTTATTTTTAGAGAGAGGGGAAGGGAAGGAGAAAGAATGGGAGAGAAACATCAATGTGTGGTTGCTTCTCATGTGTCCCCTACTGGGGACCTGGCCTGCAACCCAGGCATGTGTCCTGACTGGGAATCGAACCAGCAACCCTTTGCTTCACAGGCTCGTGCTCAATCCACTGAGCTACACCAGCCAGGGCTAATCAGATATATTTTAAAAAATAAAATAAAATTTCAGGGAAGAGAAAAAAAAAAGAATAGTATAGGAAATATAGAAGCCTAAGAACTTACATGCTCAACCATGGACATGAACTAAGCGGCAGGGTGGTGGGGGAACTGCTGGAGGGAAGGGAGGAACCAGGAAGAGGCGGGGCAAAGGGGGAAAAATGGGGACAACTATAATGGCATAATCAATAAAATATACATTAGAAAAAAACAAAGTACAGAGGAGACATATAAAAACAAGCTGATCAACAACAATTGAAGTAAAGAAGGCACAAAACACCTGGGAAAGGCTGTGGAGTCTCAACGCTTGCCCATCCCGAACCTGGTTAACCAGCTGAACTTGTTTTCAGACAATGAAATACCTGGTGAGGAACATCCCGGGGTAGTGAGGGAAGAGTGGCATGTGCTGAGTAAGAGATAACATGTCTATGGGGCCTCAAGAATAGTCACCCTCTCAGTCTCCCTAAAATGTGTCTTATTGTCTCTGCCATGACAACACATCCCATTGACCATTCCCTTCCAAAGTGAGAGGTGTCCCTTCAGGAAGCACAGCTATGTGACTAAACATGGGCTAAAGGGAGGCACGCTGGCCCTGCCCGGAGGGGTGCCTGCAGGGAGGGCGAGGAGCCCGTGCTGGGCAGCAAGGCCTTCTCCAGCACTTGCTGGACTGTGATGAAGAGGGTCAGACCCCTCCCCACGGAAATATGGAGGAAATGGCTGCTCTTCTAGCAAAACAGAAATGACCAAAATCAATCCTTAGAAGAACTGGAATATTTGAACAGTCCAACTTCCATATCAGAAATTAAGAAGGTGATTAAAGATCTAACATTGGAAAAACTCAGCCCATTTGAATTTGATGTACTTTTTAAAAAGATATTTTGAACTTGTGCAAACTTCTTTAGATAACAGGAGAAGATGGAAAGCATTCCTTAATTTATGAAAATACCACTTCATCAACTAGCATATGGAAACCACGTGCTTCAAGGAAGCCTACAGATGCAAATACTCTGAATAAAATAACCACAAAACGACTCTACCAATGTATCAAACACGTGCTCATGTATCCAGGCAACTACACGGC